GAGATTCCTCTTTCTTCCTTCCTTTTTTCTTCTTTCCTCCCTCCTTTCCTTCCTTCCTTCCCCCGCTTCCTTCCTTCCTTCCTTCCAGTTCAACAGTATATTGGAGGGGGGTGGATTTTGTTGTTTTACCTAATCTAGACTTCTGTGGCACATCAAGTCAGTCTCACCAGAAGTCTCCAGAAACTTCTGGAAGGATGAATGAATAGATGGATGAATAAATGAATGATATCCAAGTTTCTTTCAAATACCAAAGTCTGTAACTTTAAATGTGCTCAGAAGAAAAGCTTAACATCAGAAATAAATCTTCAAGAATCCTGTCCACTTTTCCATATCTCTCTTTTGAAAAAATAGGCAGAAGGTTGAATGATTCCAGCGGACATACATTAACTGAGATTAATATATATAATAAAATAAAGTTCTTTCCCAGCTACACCTGGGGATAACAGACGTAAGAGATACTAGGTTTTTGTTCTTTGAAACAGAAGCATTTCTACTAACCCAACTATTTCTCAAAATAATTTTACAAATAAAGCTCCTGTGCATTGTAATTTGTCTCCAACAACGTTACTCCCTTACAACTGCCCAAGACAAGGTCAGGTTCCTCCAGTCTCAGGGTGTGTCTGACACATGTAAATGGTCTCAGTTCAATTCCATTCTACACACAATCCTGGCCCCTGCTCTGGGGCAACCCTGAGGTCACTGAGAGGAGCAGAATGAGACCCTGCCTTTACCATACTCACAGGCTGGTTGTATGAAACACGGGTAGAAAATGAAAGCTTTATGTACTTTCATTTTTCATTTTATTTCTATTTACTCACCTACATCAAATGTCTGACGGGCCTCCTACACATTTCCTGTTCTTTGAACAATGACAGCACTGGGTTATGGCTCTTGTGTCACAGTTGCTTTGTGGTACTGGAGTGTCTCCCCTGACCCCTCCATATGAAACTGCCTTTGACTTTAGGGCCACCGAAGATCAGAATTTAGAATAAACTTGAAGGAATCCCTTCTTTCCCTGAGTCTCCCAGCACCCTGTCTGCTCTGCTTTTGAGAGACCGTCCACTTTCCCCACTGTGTTGTCATTATTTGTGTGTCTTAGGGCCGTCATTGGAATCTAAGCTCCCTGAGGGCAGCACTCAGTCCTGGTTTAGTATTATAAGCCCTGTAAGGTTTTGCTCAAAAATTACTTTTGCATATTTGACCCAACTTAAAGGTCTCATTCTACAACTAAAACCTCTAGGCCCAGCACTGGTCCATATCTTCCTAAGTCTAGGCCACTCCAGGACCCATGTCTCGGGATGGGTGGCAGCCAGGCCTATATCTACTGACTCCCCAGCATTTCACATTCAAAAGTCATGGATTCTCTCACTCAGGGATTCTCAGACTTTAGTGTTTCACAATTCTCCTGGAAAGCTCTGTAAAAATGGAGATCCTGATTCAGTGGGTCCAGTGGAGCCTGAGGTTCTGTATATCCAACAAGCTCCTGGGTGATACCAGTGCCCCTGAACCATTAACCATACCTGGACCAGCAAGGGTCCAATACAAGCCAGATAGTGTGCCACGTACTGGAGGTGATGAGTGAAAAAGGTCAAAATAGTTTAGAAAGACCCAGACTCTAGGCTGGGGATTTAGCTCAGCAGGCATAAGTGTCTGCCTTGCAAGCACTCAGTGGTGAGTTCAATCCCTAGTACCGATTAAAAAAAATCCGAAAGATCCAGGCTCTCAAGAGTCCAGAGTTTAGAGCTCAGAGCTTCTAGGGGAATACAGACAGGAAATAGGTGTGGCGATGGTGATGGTCTGTCATTTTGTACATAGTATTCTATGTGAACAATAAGGGGGAGAGGGAGGGGAACAAAGAGAAGAAGAAATTCTTCTCTGGACCAACCCTTGAAAAGGTGCCTCCATTTTTTTTGCAGGTCAGTTGCTTTCCTCTCTAGTGACTAATGCCAATGATATTTGTTTTTTTACTCCCTCATGAGACCTCAAGCTAAATTATATGACGGCAACCTCCTGCAGTCATGTCTACACATGGGCCAAGATACTTTCATCCTCTCTGCCAGAAATACTGTGGCAGCACTTGGGGCCATAACTAAACCATATCATTTAATCAGATGGCATTGGGCCAAACCTCAGCCACCCTGGTCCCGCCAAGCCCACCTGTTTTTTGAGAAGCCATCCTAGAAAGTATGTGAATCCTACGTTCTCAGAATGATGTTGGAAAAGAGAGAATTTGCAAATAGCTGGTGGTCTGTCAGTCTTCACATCTGCATCTGGGATTGTTCTGGAGTGAGATCTGTTTTACTGTGCTACCCTGACACCAAAACTTTATTCCAATAATAATTTGATTGATGTTTATCTAGGTTTCCCTAGGTGTTTTTCTTGCATAGGCAATTAATGTGGCGGTAAATAGTGTCTGGGGCCTTTGGGTGATAGTAACTTCCTACAAGAGAAACTGAGATGGGTTCCCCAAAGCCCCAGAGTTTTGTGAGTTCCCAGAGCGAACACCGTTCCCCTCTGGGATGGGCATGAGAAGGAAGTTATCTCGAGGGTCAAATTTTGCTGCTGCAAGGGCCCAGTTCTCCAGTTTTATATATTTAATCCTTTCTTTCTGGATAATGGATGGGAGACAGCAGCTAAGCTAAGCAAAGTGCTGTCAAATCCATGCCCTAAGTGCCAGATCAGAGGCAGTCCGTGGTCAGAGGAGCAGGGCTAGAGCATGGGGTGGAGGCGGAGAGCACTTTCATAGAAGGAGAGGCCTCAGCAGCTCCCTAAATCAAGACCCAGCCAGAAGAGATGCCTTCCCTGCAAATACCCATGGGGGTATTTTAAATGTATTTATCAAAATGGAGAGAGGAATCCTTTTATTAAAATCCCCCTGGCATATTGTTAGGAAAACGTCCAAACTGATTCATGAAAACTGTAAACCATCAGTTACCAGGAACATGACCACCACAGCAGGGAATCTCTAATACAGAAGGCATCAAAATTTGGGGAAGGAATAGAGGTTTGACCCAAGTTACCCTGCAAGTTAGGAGAGATCCAGTCCCTGAAGCCAAATCAAGTAATTTCCAACTCAGTGCCTTCTCCATCCCCCTGCAGAGATGTTATATAAAACATAAAGCCCGAGGGCTGGGGATTTAGCTCAGCGGCATAAGTGCCTGCCTTGCAAGCAGGCAGTCATGAGTTCGATCCCTGGTACCAATAAAAAGGAAAAAAGACCAAAAAAAATAAAAATAAAAATAAAACAAAACATTAAAGCCCGTGTGAAAATTCACGTCTCCCAAAAAAGAAAATCAGACTTGTGTCCTGAGGGTTAGTAACTGACTAGATGAAATATATAACAACTTAGGCATCATAAAAACTAAGATTAGAGGAATTGTTTTTAACAGTTGAATAAATTCCTCTAGAAAAGAACTAAACAGTGAAGTGAGACAGCTTATTATAAACCCAAGGTTTGGACAGAATTCCATTTTAGGCTTTAAATCAGAAGTAAATTTGGGAAGCTTTAACATCGAATACTTGAGTTCTGATGGAGTATCTGCATTCATCCAGGAGTGAATGACCTCTCTGTAATTCTGCCCAGCCTAATTTCTGTTACCTCCTCAAATCCCTGGCTTCACAACTCCTGCCTTTGGTTCCTACAGAACCTGCTAAATACTGCACCGCACAGCTGCCATTCCTAGCCTTACACCTTCTTTGACTGCTAGATTTGGATCAAATGCTACGAATTCACATGGTCATTGGCAGTGTAGCCTGTGCTACACTGTGCTACACTGCCAATGACCATGTGAATTCGTAGCATTTTCTAGAAGGCAAATTGGCAATGCACATCAAAAATAAGCCAGGAATGCTGGCACTAGCCCATCATCTTAGCTGCTTGGAGGCTGAGGCTGAAGGATCACAAGTTCAAGGCCAGCCCAAGCAACCTAACTTTTATTCAAAATTTAAAAAAAAGTAAAGGGTTGGGGATGCAGTTCAGTGGTAAAGCACTTGCCTAGCATGGGCAAGGCCCTGGATTCCATTCCCAGCATTACAAAAAAAAAAAGACACAAAAATATCTATATCCTGCCAGGTGTAGTGGCTCACGCCTGTAATCCCAGCACTCGGGAGGCTGAGGCAGGAGGATCGTTGCAAGTTTGAGACCAGCCTGGGCTACAAAGTGAGCTCAAGTCCAGTCTGAACTGCACAGTGAGACCCTGTCTCAAAAAGACAAAAAAAAAAAAAAATCTATATCCTTAGACTAATCCCACTCCCGGGACTCTGCCTGAAGAAAAAAAGGAGAAAAGTTGTAAAATATGTCCATTGCAGTCCTTAAGAATCCCTGGCTTATTTTACCAAAAATAAGGTAATTGAGTCCTTATTTTACCAAAAATAAGGTAATTGAGAGCTTTTTCCTAACAGCGGCTGCCCGTTGCTGAAGAAATTCTCAGCCAGGGGTTTATAGGATTCACATCTAAAACCCCCCAGTAGCTCTGTCACATCTGCGTGACCCTGGCTTCACAGAGGTGGAAACTGAGGCTGAAGCACAAGACAGTAACCAAGTCAAGGTCACATGCGATGAGCAAGGCTCGCAATGGAGGTCGGTGGCTGTGACATCACGCCTGTCCACTCACCCCCGGGATTGGTTGGAACTGAGACCCTGAAGCAGCATCTCAGGAAGGAGTGGTGATGCAGGGGCTTCAGTGACCAGCATGGAGAAGGCACAGCAGTGTTCACAAAAGCCTCCCGAAATAGCATTCAGGAAAAGAGAAAGACTCCAATTAAACCTATGGTAGAATTATCATTTCCATTAAAACGCATTTAAAAATGGAAAGAGATCACAGAGGAAAATCACTGGGCAAACGTCTGGAGGACAGAGAGTGAACTGCAAGGGGATTTACTCTGCTTGTATTTCCTTAAATGTTCCTATACTGGTGTCTTAACTGAAAGCCTTAAAAAATACCCGACTTGACCACTGACTTGAGCTTAATGAAAACACATGTGTGTTTTCTCTCTCCTACCTTTGAGTAACTTCTTCGCTCCACTTGTTCTTCTCTCTCGGTTTCATGATGCCTGCACCTTGCCGAAACCACAGGGTCCCCTGGGCATTGCTGAGCACCCAGGAGGGCATCACCGGCGGGCCTTTCTCAGCGAAGGTAGGCAGATGTTAAAATAAGGATGTCGGGATGCAAATGGCAGAGGAGAGCAGAGAGCACTAAACAGCCTCACCCCGGAGGAGAAAACCAGTGGCCTCGAGGCTCTGTGCTGGGGAAGTGCCTCACCAGCTGAAAGGTCAGCAGATGACGTGTCCATTGGTACTGGAGCATTACATGATATTGCAAAAATAGAACCTTATAAAAATTCATAAGCTCACGAAAGTCCCACTTGACCATCTAGGTTAGGGGTCCCATGGTCAGGATTCAGTCAGGCTATAGAAGAAAGAACGCTTAATGTCCAGGCCTTTCTCCTAGTAAAAGGGTGCTGATGCCAGAGTGCTCTAAGCGCTTGCTGTGTGCTTGGACTCTGTGAGCTGCTCCTGTGCTGATTCATTTAGCCCTCCTACATGATGGATATTATTGGTTTACAGATGAAGACACGGAAGAGGTTTAAAAACTTGCCCAGCAGAGATCCGGGCCCAGATCTGTGTAACACCAGCTTGGATTCTGCGGTCTCTCAGAGGCCTTCCCTTTGATCTGTTCTCCTCAACACCCCAGATGGCACCAAGCTGCCTCCTGTACATGGGAAACACCGCCTCCCACGACCAGAACTGAGTGAAAATGTCCTGGACCTCCTCCTGCCTTTTCAGTACAAGAAAGAGATGACAGGTCCTGAAACAGAGAAATGTGGTCTTTGGAGCTCTGCAAATCTCGGCTTGCCTTCTAGTGTCTGCATTCAGTAAACTTGAGTAAGCTACTGAATGCCTCAATTTTCTCATCCATGAAGTAGGGCTCCACTCTCGGGTGGGAACTAGAGTCTGGCACAGGGCTGCCCGATGTAGGAGCGCATCCACCTCGTCGTCTGTTCTGGAGAAAACTCTAAGGCCCAGAGCGGCTGCTGTGAAAGATCAGCTGGTTATTAGAAGGACCCCTAAGTACCCAGAATGCACCTCGGGCACTTCCCGGCACCCAGTATGCAGCTTCCTTGAGCCATTTCCCTGCCTTTCACATTGATGCCACTAAGCTTTGCCTATCTGTCCACCAGAGGGATTTCTTTTTCCCCGTGATAAGAATTTTTCTACCTTCCACAGCCCTATCTTTTAGGCATTCTTCTTAATCCTCATTATGCTTAGTGATTGGTGTGTTTGTTCTACCTCTCTTTGCAAGCACGCCAGATGCTGTACGCTTAACTGGGCACACTGTACCTTGCACCTCTGTAGTGGCACATGGAACACTGCAGGAGCAGGAGAGTAGGCTCCATGAGGGCAGGCTTCTCCTTCATCTGCAAGTCCAAGCACTGTGCCTGCTGAACTGTACCTATTCGATGACTGTCCACTAAATGAGTGAATGGACGAGTGGATGATTAACCAGCAGTTTGCATGGCCTGAATGGACAGTGGCTCATTCTTACGGAGGACCTATTGTTAGCCGCGGGAGGCGAGTCACCAGACAGCAGACCTACCAGGCTCCCCAGGAGTCAGGAGAGATAATATGAAGCCTTTCTGTTACATGGTTGATACACATCATCTCATTTAATCCTCAAAAGGATCTAGATATTGAAGTGGAAACCCATTTTACCGATAAACACTAACTTGCCCGGTTACCCAGCAAGACAGGGATTCTAACTGAGGACTCATGGACTCAAACCCATAATCACTTCCTTACACTGGAAGGCCCTTTTAACATGGTAATTAGGTGCATATGTGAATTCTTATCCCTGTTTACCTCTTCCTGGCAGTGGAAACTGGCTACTCACAGACTATCAAAGCCATCAGTATCCTAGCTGAACAATAGGGATAATAGTATTTATGGCTTCCAGGGCGATTATAAGAGTTAAAGGAGATGATGTAAGTAAGATGCCATGAGCCAAGCGTACAGTATGTCTTTGGTGTTGGCAGCAGTAGTAGTGGTAGTGATAGTAACAGTAGTACTAGGGTCATCTTAATTCCGTAAACCCAGTGCTAATTTGAAAGTGTAAATTTGGCTTACCAAATTATCTTCCACTCGAGGAGACTGAATAAGAACTGGAGTGGTATGGGAGTTAACTCAGGAATGATACTGCTGTGGCCCAGTCGCCCTTGTGAACGGGGAGCTGCAATTCCCAGACATGACCACAAGGTGGGGCAGTAATTCGGCATGATTGGGTTAAGCACTGAGAGCACCCTGTGAAATCCAGAGAAACCTAATAAATCAAGGAGAGTCAGCTACTGGAGCTTTAGACATGATTTACCCCAAGCATGTCAGACAGACATCAGTGGAACAAGGTTAGCCGCAGGAGAGCAGGCAGCACATGGGCAAAGCCGGAAGCAAGCAATAGAACGACCCAAACGAAACCTGCCTCTCAACTGCTTTGCACCTGACTGATGACTCTGAGAGAGGAAGTGAATGGGGCACAGTTCCCGCTTCTCTCTCATTCATGTAGACTCCGTATTCGGAGGAGGATGTCACAGAGCTGAGAATCACTGATGTGGACCAGAACATGATGACCACAGGATGAGGAAAGAGAGTTGTTAAAAGGCAGAGTCATATTTGAAGAAACCGTGTACACGTGGAGGATTAGAGAACGGTAGTTGAGTTTGGGGTGTGGGTGTCAATATTAGGCAGGCGGCTTTGAAGTAGAAAGGACCTGCATTCAAATTCTGGCTCAAAGCCTAGAGCTACGTGACCTTGGCAAGGATACAGTGGCGAGCTGGGAGGTTGTTTTGCAGATTAAATGAGACACTGTCTGTGAGGTACTTAACGTGCTCCCAGGAGTAACCCCAGTAACTGGTCCAAGAAAGGCAACTTCATTGTTACCATTATTGTTATTGCATAATGAGGAGAGGCTGATCCTAAATCCAGTGCCCACAGTCCCGTGGATGTTACACAACTGTACAGAGACCTCTCTGATTTGTTCAGTGCGTGTCATGTGTGACAGACCTGGTTTCCCAAAGAGATTTCAAGGTCTTTCAAGGTAAGACTAAAAAATACAGTCTGTGCCTTGACTTTTGCACAGTTCTGAATATAACTCTGGATGTAGGCTAGTTAGGTGATCAATACACCTGACCATTGATCTGTTGTGAAATTGATAGCCTACAAACTTTCCAACATGGTATCTAACAAAGCAATTCAGCACTCATCTGCTAAGTGTCTGACGGAGGCTGTCCCGGGTGACCCTACTCGGCGCTAAGGCATGGTTCCAGGGTGTCCACTATCCCTATTTCCCCCCATTCTGACCAGACTGACCCTAGTTCTGCACAGAAACACTGACATGGAACAGAAGGGACAGTACAAGAATCTATCCTGGTTCAGTGAATTTAGACATTTGTTTTTTCAGGTTCACAAGGCCATCTCCTGAGGGACTGGACAGAACTGATGTAGGAGAGGAGGAGAAAAAGAACGAAAAGTCCTGCTTAAATAAACTCAAGAGAAGCTGAAGGGACAAAGTTCCCTTTTAAGCATATTCTCTGGCCGCCTAAGTCTTTCTTGGCCTCCTTACCCTTCCTGCCTTACGAGTCTCTGTTTTCTCATCTGGAACATGAGGGTATGACACCCGCAGGTCACCAAGATCCTTTAAGGACCCTGGACGTAGCACCATGTCCAGTCTCCTCCAACTGGGAGAATGCTGGCTCCTTCCCAGTCCCTAACTTCCCATGTGGCCACCCCCTCCGTCACTTGTCCCCTCTGTGCCTCAGCTTCCCCCAGCACAGGTGACCACACAGACCAATCTGGACGACCTCTAAGGTCCGTTCCACCCGGAACACTGATAGTGCTTTTGAAATCCTTCCCAGCTCTGCCTGCTCTGCACTCACCCTGACTGTAAACTCTGGAGGTAGTGGGGGGGGTCTCTTCCCTTTCTTTCCTTCAATGGAGGGAACATTCAGGATGACAGACTCTTCCAGAGACAACCTGAGGTGTGTCGGGTGGATGAAGGTGCACAGAACTATCCCGGTACAAAGAGTAAAATGACTGGTGACTGTCATCTTTGGAAAATTGTCACCCTCTCCACGTGGCTGTTCCTCCATCACAAAATTGGTGAGCATGCTTCATTTTTAATCAGCAACATTACTTCCCCCAAAGAAGTTTTAAAGAGCAATTCTACTATTAAATATCTCACACAGAAACTTTGACAAATGACTTCTTTTCAAATTACAAATTACATTCCTGCCCTCTCTTCAACCCAGAAATCCAGGGACTCTTTAGAGAGCATTTGTCCCTTTAGCAATAGGACAGAAAACCCATTTGTATGGGTTTTCTGCCTTACCTTGTGTTACCTTCCTTTAATTGCTGGCTAAACGTTTCCCACACAACCAGAACCATTGGAATAATTAATATTCACTAAGCTGAATGCTGATCTTCAGCAGCTGGTGATTCCTAAACCTGAGAGTGTGGTCTGTGGAGGCAGCGTCTTGAGGAGTGAGGTTGGCACTGCATGAGGTTCGCTGGTTGAATCATAGAAAACAGAATACCTCAATTGCGGCATATCAGCCTGAGAAGCACTTTTGGAGAGCTCTTTAGGTACGGCCTGCCCGGGCTCAGGAGGAGAGGCAGCAGGGAAGGAGTGGCCATACCCTACCCCTACCCCTACCCCGGAAGAATGGCCAATTATCTGAGATAAAGATGATCTGCTCAGCAGGCCAGGAGGTGATAGTGAGTGCAGCGAGCTTCGAATACCTGGGAGGGAGCACAGAAGATTTATTCATTATTCACTCAAAAAGTTTGTTGGGATCTATTCAAAGCCAGCCCTCTTCTAGAGGTTAGTTACAGAAGAGCAAAGCAGAGCCTCCGGTCCTCCAAGATGATGACTATCTTTATGGGGTTTGTGTTCTAGTTCAGAAAGCAGAAGACAAACAGAATTAATTGGTTCAATATATAGTTTGTTAAATGATGGAAAGTGCTTTGAAAATAAAAGGAGACAACTGGGTGAAGAGGTAAAAAAATGATGAAAAGGAGATGGGCTACCGTTTTTGAAAGGGCAAGCAGGGAAATCCTCGCTGAGAAGATGACACAGTGGTGAGAGCTAGAGGAAAGCATGCCATGCAGATATTTGGAGAACAGTGTCCTAGAGCAGAGAAACAGCAAGTGCAAGGGCCCTGGGGAGGAACATGTCTGGGGCGATCCAGAAATAGCAAAGTGGTCACGCAACTGGGCTTTTGCTCTCAGTGAGATTGGAAGCCATTGGCAGCCATTTTCTCTTATCAGCAGAGAAGATCGTGATCTGACATTTGTCGAAACATGATCCCTTTGGCTACAATGCAGAAGACAGACTGCAGTGAGCAAGGAAAGTAGAGGGACCAACTGTGATGACAGGAAAGATGACTGGCCTTACAGACATGACGTTGACAGAGGTGCCAAGAGGTGGTCAGATTCTGG